GGGAACTTGGCAAGGGCGGGAGAGATGACATGTCCGAGAAGGATGGTCCGTCAGCACTCGCCATCTCCTCTATACATTCTTCCGCTGGTTCCTGAAAAACATCTACAACATTAATAGTATTGGCCCCCCTCCCTCCTACCATCTGCCAGCCTGAAGTGGAAGGCTGCGGGCTGCCACCTCGAGTCTGCTCCTCCCCCACATTCCATACCAAACCTTCCTCCAGTTCGCCGCCCCCTCCTTCTTCTTGTAAATTAACTGCTGAAGTTCCGGACAGTACTCCAGGCTTCGGCTTGCTCAGAAAATGCCTATGGAAGTCAATGACTAGCTCCGGGGCGTGAACGTTCTTTGCATTCTCCCATGAACGATCAGCTTCGGGATAACCCTTCCAATGGATGAAATACTGAATCTCTTTCCCTCTCCTATGAGAGTCCAAAATTGCCTCTACCTCGTATTCCTCCTCTCCTTCGATCACAACTGGAGGGGGTGGGGGTGTGCACGTTCTCAAGGGACTTGGAAGAGCCTCTTTCACTAACAATGAGCGGTGGAAAACTGGATGAACCTTCATGGATGAGGGCAACTGCAATCGGAAGGCTAAGTTATTCACTTTCTGCAAGACTTTATATGGCCCGACAAAGCGTTCACTCAATTTTCTGGATGGTCTTTTGGAAGCTAGAAACTTAGTAGACAACCAGACTCTGTCTTCCACTGAAATCAATGGACCTGCTTGTCTGTGGGCATCAGCATTTCTCTTATACGCTTGCTTAGCCTTTGCTAATTGCTCTCTCAATAACTGCTGAGCTGCTTGCTGTTCTCTCAAAAAATGCGTTGCCCCTGGCACTCCCCCCCTGAGACAGTCTGTGGTAAAACCTGGGGTGCCCATCCCTGCTTGAAACAGGGACATCTCAATTGAAGAGTGCACTGAATTGTTGTAAGGGAATTCCGCCAAGGGTATTAACTCAAGCCAATTATCCTGGCTGTATGAAGTATAACACCTTAAATACTGTTGTGACATCTGATGGGTCCTCTCTGCCTCTCCATTGGTAGCCGGATGGTGCGCTGAAGACATCTGGCTGTGCACCTTCAACAGTCCAAAAAGAGCTTTCCAGAACTTAGAAGAGAAC